AATTCTGACTTTTTTTCTCAGAATTGTGAGATATAAACTCGCAATTCTGAGAACATATCAGTCTTTTTCCCCCTTCAAAATTGGACTTTAGTTTAATAAAGAGTTTATATCACACAATTCTGAGAAAAAAAGTCAGAATTGCGAGAGAAAAAGTCGCAATTACCTCTTTTATTGTTTATTCAGTGGAGGAAACGGGCTTCCATAGTGTTAGTGACCATGTTATTTTAGCATTATTAATATACTTTTATAGTTTTTGCTAATATTTTGAATTAGACTTTTATTTTATATTTTCTGTTCTTATTTTAATTTTAGGTGTTTTTGCCATTTTTAGTAGTTTTTTTTTTTTTATTTTTAATAATTTTTTGTCAGTTTTAATTTTAGTTAAACTACATTAAACTGAGAAATGTTGGCGTGGCAACTAGTTAAAATAAGTTCTTAAAAAAATTTAGGTTTTTATATTTTATTTTATTTCAGTCAACATTTATTATTAATTTTTAACGTTTTTAAACAAGTTTAAGTTTCTATATTTTGTTTTATTTCAGTTAATATTTATTTTTAAATTAAATAAAATTTTATTAGATTTTTAACTACTATAATATGCCTGGTTTCAGTGGTGCTGAAAGACACCAAATACTGAGACATTCTCACATTTTATGTTTCACATCAACTTTAATTGACGTATAATTTGTTAAAATGTGCATTCAATTAGAAAAATGCAAAATATAAGCATTTTCTCTAGTGCTCTGAGACTTTTGAAATCAAATGTTTTTTATATTTTATTTTATTTACGAAGATAAAAATTTTTTATCGTTTTATTTAAGTTTCAGTTTTAGTTTTAGTTAACTATAATAACCCTAGTTAGTACACCATGGAGGCTGGTTTATTGCTGATCCAAAATGATCAAGTTCAAGATCAAGGATCTTCTAGAAGCCATGTAACACAGAACCGCACATACTCACCGGTACACGCGTGTGTCGAGCTGCTCCGCTGACGGGAATCCCAGCATGCCACACACCACACGACTGCTGCTGAGATCCCAGCCCACACTACACACCTGCCTCCATTTCCCAGCATGCCTCACCTCCAGCACACCCTCCGTCACCATGGCAGCGCTCCGAGCGGCGCTCAGAACGGCTCGGAGACGCACCTCGTCCAGCCGGAGCGACCCAGACGACTGAGAGAGACACGGACAAACAGAGTTTATTCAACCTTTAGATAAAACGTGTTTTTTGTTAAGTATCATATTTGATCCTTCAGGCTATTATGGCTCATAGAGTCTGATATAATGAGAATACGAAAGAAAGAAAAAAACAGCTTGATTTATTCAGAGCCTCAAACAGAGCAAAAATACACAATTTGCTCTAAACGACTGTGGTTTACAGCATGTTTACACTGCTAGTCTTCAATTACATGACACTGTTAACCGCTGGAAAAACTGAGCAGATTAACACGGTCAGACTAGCGTTAGTGGAGCTGGGGTGATGCTGGTCTAAGACGGACTACCAGTTTAGTAGGTCAACCAACTGATGACCACGCTGGATCATCTAGAAACCATCTAAAACCTGGAATAATTATTTTCAGGATTCACAGATGAATAGAACGTTCAAAAGAACAGTTTAACAGATATTCACATAGAAAACAGCTGTTTTACATTCTAATAATATTTCACATTTTTACTCTATTTTTGATCAAATAAATGCAGCCGTGGTGAGCATTAGAGACTCTGACCTGCTCGTCCAGATCCATCCTGTTACTGTGCTCCACCGGCTCGGGACTGTAAACCGGCTCCGGCGCTGGTGCTGGTCTCTCAGGGTTTCGTGTGGTCTGAGCGGGCGTCACTTCCTGTGCTCGTCTGTAGGAGGCTCTGCTGCGCAGGAAGTCCGGGATCTGGTGTCCCCGCGGGGTGACGGCGCTCTCGAACCCGTTCCTGCGCAGCTGGATGCGATGGCCGGTGAGCTGCGGTGAGGACGGGCCGCGGCTGCCGCGGTGGAGGCCGATCTCGTGCCCGCGCTGAGGAGCGTTCGAGACCAGGTTAGAGATCTGAGGTGAAGGAGGCTCTTGGTACCGGGGGACGTGACCCTGGTTGGGTGGATCCGGACTGCAGACGACTCCCAGATCTTCAGCGTGAGTGCAGTCGCTCACACCCCAGCCGTTCGACCGGCACTCCGACAGAGAGCTCTCGCTGCCCGAACACCAGACGTTATCCAGCCAGACCGGACCTGAACACACCAGAACCAGAGTGTGCTGACGGAGCCACTGAGCAAACACTGAGACCAGTGAAGTCAACATGAGGCATTCACCACCTGTTTGACTCGCATGATCAATTTATGAGTGAAAAACCACATTCAGAGAGAGGGATTCACATGATGAAATGATGGCATGGTGAAAGTGTGTCTGTATGATCAATAAGACTATAATCAATAACAGTCACAGTATTAAAGCACTTTATAAAATACGGATTGTACGGAAGCTTAATTCTGCCATGGAATATACAGTATATATATATATATATATATATATAGGATACAACGGGGCTAAAGGTGCCTTTGATATTATTTCCCTCTAAACCACTAAATGGCGTAGCACTTTCCAAAACATCCGCTTTTCAAGATGCACGTGTATATTTGTCTGATCCTTGATGGGATCCTTGCAAATGAGCTTAGTTGATCTAATATTTGATGTTTTTTTAAATGTTGTAGATTTAAGTAGCAAATGAGAATAGCTAAAATTATTGAATATATTTTGAGACAAAGGTCTTTATGATTTTCAGTTTTGTTTAAGATAATTAAAGCAACAGTATTTAAATAACGAAAGAATATGTAAAAGTATGGTGTTGGGGCTAAAGGCGCAGTAATTAACATGAATCATGATAATTAATAGATGGCTGACTTTTCTATTTGTTGACACGGTTAGATTCAGATGTAAATATCATATATTATGTTGGGTGTCCATATTAGAGATAATCACCCTGTTTAGAAGGAAACCATCATATTTAAAAACATGATATTAATCATAGCATATAATAAAATAGAATTTGTTGTTACTACTGTAAATATATATTAAATTGTTATAGGATCTCCTTCGATGCTTTCAGAATCTTTACTTTTTAAAATGATTTTGTTTCTGCATTTTAAAATATATGTTTTATATTAACATTTTTTTAATGACAGTATATTTATTGAACAAAAATTATTTATTTTATTTGTCAAAATAAGCAGAATATAGTACAAACTTTGCTAAAGTGAATGTTTTGATCAAGTATTAACTTAGACATAATTTCAAAAACATTATTTTAGCTGAAGTATATTGTGTGTGGTAACAGGCCACCTCATACATTTATAAGATTTGTAAACAAAATAAACAACTTGTATGATTTATTTTCACACAAAATCTGTTGCTCCATTAATGTTCAATACAACGTATATTTGCTCTGCAATCATACACTTTGGGTGCAGTGAAAAGCAAATTTTTTTCTTAGGGGGTGCCTTTAGCCCTGTTGTACCCTATATATATATATAAAAGGTACTTGCAACTTTTTGTTTTAATTAGATTTTTTTCTCACGATTGCAAATTTCTAATTGTAAGATGTAAATTTAGAATTTTGACTTTTTTCTCGCAATTCTGACCTTTTCCCTCAGAAGTCTGATTTACATTTTGCAAATAACTCGCAATTGTTATGTATAAGCTCAAAATTCTGAGAAAAAATTTTGAAGTCAGAGTTTACATCTTGCAATGAATAATTCGGAATTAATATCTCAAAATTGTCAGATATAAACTCGAAATTCTGAGAAAAAAGTTGGAATTCTTAATTTACATCTCGCAAATAATAGCTCGCAATTGTTAGAAAAAGTTTCAAGTTCTAAGTGTACATCTCGCAATAAATGATTCACAATTAATAACTCACAATTGTTAGATATAAACTCGAAATTCTGAGAAAAAAGTTCTAAGTCTGAGTTTACATCTTGCGATTAATAGTTGGAACTCTGCGATTACATCTCGCAATTAATAACTCGGAATCAATAACTCACAATTGTTAGATATAAACTCAAAATTCTTGGAAAATTTGGGATTCTGAGTTTACATCTCACCAACTAATAACTTGCAATTAATAACTCACAAATTGCAATATATAAATTCACAATTGTGAGGAAAAAGATCATCTATACGATAGAAAGTCGCAAATAACATTTTAAAGTGCCCCTATTATGGATTTCTGAAAATGAGCTTCAACATTTTCCTGACTGATTTAATTTCAGATTACAAATGTAAAATAACAATATTAATGGAACTTGTCACATTTCACGTTGTGTTATAATCGCACTAAGCCATACTGTGATTTGAGTTTTTATTTAGATTAATTGTGCAGCAAAAGAAAACCTAGCAGCCGTCCTAGCAACCAGATAACACCACCCTAGCAACACTAATAGGCAGCACATCTGTGTGGCATCCAACACTATATATAAGCACATTTACATATCTTCCATATGTGCAGTAAGCAGATGCAAAATGCATATTTAAGATGTGACTGTAAGCTGAGAACAAACCGATCAGCGCTGAATGATTCACAAACTGGTCCTTCCACTCTTAGAGCGACAGATGGCAGGCAAAAATAGATCCACGTCTAATCTCATCATACAGATTGTTTAAAGTTCTCCCAAGCTCAAATGTCGCCCTGAGGAGACATCGTTCAAGCCTGGACTCTTAAATGAAGGACGCAGTAGTTGGACTACAGCAGTTAGATTGTAATGTCGTTTGGTGTTTTGAATAATCAAATGGCGTGATGTTTTTTTGCATTAACACCCGTCAGGTTTCTCTGCCGATGTCCAGACCGTGTTCTCATACGGTGACTCACCGCAGGCTGCCAAACACATTCCTCCCTGTTCCATGATGCAGATGCCCATGTTTGAGGACAATCTGGGCTCCTCAGACCTGCTGCACACAACTCTGTCAGGCATCGCTGGTAAAAACACAGACAGATACTATAAATCAGCCTGGTGTGCGTTGCAGAAACTAGCATGCTTATGGTTCTGTGTGTTTGTGACAGCAGTGTTCGACTGCCAAACCGGACCGGAAGAGTTTCTGGGAGAGCAGGGGCCTTCGGTGCCGGAGGATAATTACCTTCACATCTGAAGCCCGAGCCGGATCTCATGCGTCTTTACTGAAGGGTGAACGCTTGCTTCACCAGAGTGGATCTCATCAACTCACTTTGGGTTGTGTATGTCATTGAGGGAGTTTTATGGAAGAATTTCCTCATTGACTTCTAATCAGTGGGAGAAACCGGATTTTTTAAACACATTTGGACGCTTAAGCCACATTTTGTCACACAGAAGCAAGTGTCTGTATCTGTGTGTTCTCAAACACTTTTCATTTTTGCTCAGCGACCTTTAGTCGACATCATGTTCACATGATGAGTTTTATTTCAAACCAGACGAACTTAAAGTGCCCCTATTATGGATGTTTGAAAATGAGCTTTCATGCAGTGTGTAACACAGCTCTAAGTGAATGAAAACATCCTGCGAAGCTTTAAATCTGAAAGTTCAAAAGAAAGAGTCGGCTCTGAATCATTAAAACGAGTCATTTTTAAAACCAATCCCAAGCCGATTCATGTTGACGTCAACATGAAACATTAGCATATTGCCCGCCCACGTGTTGGTCTTTTCGGGTTGGTCTGAATGAAAATGCAAATTCATTCTTTGCCACTAGGTGTCGCTTTTGGAGCAGTAAAATAGCGGTTTCCCCGGTAACGCTGTACACAAAGCAACACTGCACTCACAAATGCTGCTTTATCAGGCATTACAGGCATGATGAAATGAAAATGAGACCAATCGGACCAATCAC